TGGGGGGGGGGGGGGGGGGGGGAGATCTATTTAATCGAGTATCACTGTATCTCTGCAGGGATACTGTATCCAACCACACAGGATAGTCCGTGTCGAGTAGGACAGAAGAAGACAGCGAGCTGCATGCTCTCGCGTGTGTCGGCGGGCGGGGAGAACATGTTCAGACAGTCACTAAGTACAAAGTACGAGAGTTGGAAAACGATGAGAAAAGAAAGGATGAGGCCAAGGCTTTGAACACATTCATATTGTCCAACATTGTGCGTGGTTTGTTTGTTCTTCTTAAGCCATTCTCGTGACGCCGGGACAACGACTAGGAAGATATGTATCCTTATGTAGTTGCGAGCGACGTAAAACTCTCACAGAAATATTATTATTGTTTGACAGGTTTCTCTGTGCAACTTCTCTAAAAAATATTGATCTAAATTGTGTCGATGGGGCTGCAAAAATACATCTATTAAACATTTTCCCTTAAGAAAAAGTCAAGCAAAAAATGAAGCGATTTGAGAACACGATGAAGTATAAATTGTTAAAAAACAAATCGCTGACAGCTTTGATATTGCTCGTGTGAAAACAATTGAAAACACACAACAACAATAAGAATCTACCTCAAAGAAGTAACCAAAAACATTTGTTCAGACATTCATGATCCCCGTCCCTCCGTCAATTGAGCAAAACATACATGTCTTGTATACCGCCACCTCCTTCAAAATGGACCGGTTCTATGATATAGCCGTCCTAAGGTTAATTGTGAAATTACCAATAGCGGACCAAAGGTTGATGGACTTTCATCTGATGACATGACTACTAGCATTTACTGTGCCCTGGCTTTTTAAAATGTTCGCACGCTCAGCTCGCTGCAACAATGGGTCTTTTGGGAAAAGGATTTTAAACATAATAATATTTTCTCATTTGACTCGGTCCTCTTGGAGACAGACGTTACATTTGAGAGTCTTGCCTTTGAAGCAATCTTACAGTGATGCAAGGGTCCTTAAACACAGGTCTGTGCAATTTCATTAAATTTATTTCAACGCTAGGAGATCGGGAGGGGGTCCCATCTTAACACAATAAGCCAAGAGCGTCCTTCGGTGGTTAAATAGCAGATTAATGAGGATAACTCCTTTACATTCCGGTTCCCTTTTAGTAGAGAGTCCGACGATCTTTTCTCCTGATCTCATCCAATCCCAGAGGGGCGCACTATCACAAACCTGATCACTCTCAAATAACAAGTGTCAATATAAAAAGGTTGAAAGAAATATCACAAGCAAAGGCTAAAGACCTTAAGAAACAATAACAACCATAACAATAACATCAAATAACACGAGGGCAGAAGAACGGAGGCTGCAGAACACACAGTTGCATAACCTGGTAATGTTGAAGAGAATCGGAAAACAGGAGCTGAGGAAAACACTAGTAGGTTAAAAAATCGTGAACATTCGAACCTGCTCGGATTTTGCGTGTAAATTCGAGCAATATTCAAACTATTGCCAGGATAGTATGTATTTGATTCGAGCAATATTCGAACTTGCCTGGATATTATGTATTTGATTCGAGCAATATTCAAACTTGCCTGAGTATTGCATGTTTAATTCGAGCAATATTGAATTTGCCCTCATATTGCGTGTTCAATTCAAGCGACATTCGGACGTGCCCGTATATTTTGTGTTTGGTTCAAGCGACATTTGAACATGTCAGAAATATAGGTCAGTGGTGCTCACCATCATAGCGTGCCTGTCAACTATTCTGACTCACCTTCCTCCCTCATATATTTCTTATAAACACACAAGCAAACACACGAACATGCACACATACATGCATTGATGCATACAGTCCAACCTGCTCCAACAGCCACCCATATAAGACACTCACCTGTATAAACGACCACTCTACCCCCGCCCTTGCCATGTTTTACACTATAACGACACCGTGTAAGACAACCATTTTTTCAATGAATGATCGTCTAAAACAGGACACCCCCCCTCCAACACACATACACACTCATTCACGCACACATACACACATACACACATTCACACACACACACACATACATACATACACACACGCATACACACACGCACACACACACATACACGCACGCACACACACACCCACACCCTATACATAAAGAAAACAATAAAGGGGGCGTGTATATCAAACTTGACCGACGCTCATGTGACCTAATGTAGTAGCGAGCGACGTAAAACTCTCACAAAAAATGCAACCACAATCCAGAAGACTTTCTATCGAGTTGGCCACCCCCCATGACTACAGCGACTTACGGAACATTCGGCCAACAACACACAAAAAAGTATGCTCGAAGTCGAAGGCATCAGGTATAGAATCTCATGAAGACAGAACTAACACGATGTGTCATAGGAGAAAGAAGTCATTAAATTTAAACAAGGCTAGACATGATTGCAAAGAGATAACCTTACTCTCAGTAATGCGCAGAAACTATCGGCACCAGCGATTCATTGAACAGCTTGCTACAGAATAACAGAATACGTCTATTGTAGTTTGCTTCATCAAAATCCAATAATAGTCAAGACTGTGTTCTCTGATGTAATTTAGCTTCACGTTGGAGCCCACTATTTGCGTTGATTTGGAACCAAACAAAGAGGTTCTATTTATAACCTCTTTGGGAAGCAAACAAAGGGTAGGAAGGGATAGGTTGCGCGTGCACTCGACTGCAACAAGACTGATGTTTTGCATTTCATTTGCGCACTAACGGTGTGCACCAGTGCAGCCAAGATTATTTTGCTACATCAGAACTACAAAGTTCTCTCTGTTCAGTAGATCTACCTAGTTTAGGGAAATTGACGTAAAAAAATGTAGAGTTTCACAATATTTCAAGCTATTTCGAATGTAATTCTTTGAATATCTTGATAGCAACTCCGAATAATCTTACGATTTAAAAAAAAAGCAGATAGAGCATAATTTGATTTATGACCTCGTGGTCTTAGTAACTCAAAACGGCCCAACATGTCAGACAGGACTTTGTAAAATGTACTTCAAAGATAACGTCATTGTAGAGAGCAAAGAGAGGCGACCGGCCTTGATAGTATTAGGTCTAAGCTAGTATTATAATTCAGGTCAAACAAAACGAAAGAGAAACAGACAAAGAGTTGAAGGATAAAAAAACACCAAGGGAAAGATAAGTCTTGTTATAATATTATTGAACTCGTTGTTGTTAATCCAACAGTCTTTGAGAGTGTTTGCACCACAGCCCAGTGCCCTGTTATAACAGCGGACCTCTTCAACATCTACGTTTGTTCTTTGCTGCAGCACAGGGTACTGACTGTGGTAGTGGCAGGAGGAATAAGCTACTACTGAAGAACTTATCCGTCACAGTTTTACTTTCTTCTTCACTTCATGAAAAGCTATAGTTACATTCTTGTTTTGTCTTCATCGATCAGCCATAGGCTCTTTCTGTCTGTCTCTCTCTCTATGTCTGTCTCTCTCTCTTGCTTCTCTTCACACACACAAACACATACACATACACACATACGAACACACACACAAGTATACACACAGCACACGCATAAACATAAATAAAAGAACAGACACATGCACACGCACACCCACCCTCAACTACCTCTCACACACGCACACACACACACACATACACACACACACACACACACACACACACACACACACACACACACACACACACGCACACACACACACACACACAAGTGCGCAAGCGCACATGCATTTAAAAGTTCAAAGAACCAACCACCTGTATCCTGCACATTGTAAACACGAAGCAGGAAGCCTGCAAATCTGAGAGATATAAATAGCCATCAGGGGAGAGAATTGGTTGATGAGACGTGACGTAAAAACAGAGCCCTCTAATGAGTGATGAGTAATGAACTGTGCTCTCTCTCTCTCTCTCTCTCTCTCTCTCTCTCTCTCTCTCTC